TCAAGCCCCACAACTGACAAAAAAAAATCTTAGAACCCAAAATGAGTATCAATGAATGAGTTGATGACATTTGAATAAAGCCTATATATTTTAGTTTATCAGTTTTGCTTCCCTGTCATGACTGTGCTTATGTAATATTTCATTTAATGTTAGGTGAATGTAGGTGAAAAGTATAGCAATTCTTGTACTTTTCTGTAAACCTAAAATTAGTGTGTGTGTGTGTGTGTGTGTGTGTGTGTGTGTGTGTGTGTGTGTGTGTGTTTATGTGTTTATGCACGCACCTGTCCTATGGCTTGAGCTCAGAGCCTGGGCATTGTACCTGAGTTTTTTTGTTCAAAGCTAGTGTTCTACTTCTGGCTTTTTGGTGGTTTACCGGAGATTAAGAGTCTCATGGACTTTCCTGCCTGGTCTTGCTTAAAACTACAATTTTCAGATCTCAGCCTCTTAAAATAGTTAGGATTATAAGTGTGAGGTACTGGGGGCCCTAAACCTAAAATTATTTAAAAGTAAAAAAATGGGGGGCTGGGAATGTAGCTTAATGGTAGAGTGCTTGCCTAGCATACATGAAGCCTCAGGTTCAATTCCTCAGTACCACATAAACAGAAAAAGCTGGAAGTGGTGCTGTGGTTCAAGTGATAGAATGCTAGCTTTGAGCACAAAAATCTCAGGAACAGCACCTAGGCCCAGAGTTCAAGCCTCTAGGTCTAGAGAAAAAAATCTGTACATGATATAGTTATAAATGTGCTTATGACATTTTGAATCTTTTTTCACTGTTTAAACCTAAACCAAACCAATATGATTAAAAAAAAAAAAGAATTTACCTGAACATTTAATGTAGAATCTTTTCAATACAAGGCTTTTACTTAATGATTATTTTAACTTAAGCAAAAGTTTTAACTCTTTTGCTTTGGAAATCATGACAAAAGCCCCAAGTATATTCATTTTTCTGAAATGTGAAGCCCAAGCCATAGAATCCATAGAATCCATCAAGAGAGCACAGTCAAAATGTATAAGTAGTGCTGCCAGCTACTTATGATAGTATATTTTTCTTAGTTTACTTCTTCACGATCTAATGTCAACTCTAAATCTGTATTTCAGATCATTCATAGCTCTGACTTGGTAAAGGGCCACTGTGTGGCTTAAAGCAGAGGTTAATTATTCTTCCTGCTGTTTCTACTGTTTGTTGATTTAGCTGCTCACTAAAACAGCCTTGCCTATTCCAACCAGGTCCTTTTTCAAAATTTCTAATCTAATGCCAAGACCAAAAGAGGTCAAAGAAACAAAACAGATTTTCCAGAGAATCCAGACTACACATTAGTATTCCTCAAGTTCCTACCTCTGAATAAAAAGAAATACTACAAAATAAAAAAATTTAAATTGAGTTGGTAATGAGTAAAAACATCTATTTCCCTTAAGAAACACATTTTCTAAAAACTTGTGTGTTACTATGAAACTAGTAGCTCCCTTAGTATGGTAAATGCAGGGTGGGGGAATGGATAAATGGATGTCTCAACTACACACAATTCTGTTTACTCAAGTAGCAATATTATTAGATTAAAGATGAGACAAGGTTATCCAGCACTAACAGCTTTTATCATTATTCTAGATAAGAGACAACTCTAGGAAGAAGGAATTAAAGTTATCTCCTTTTCTGGCAGTACTGGGGTTTGAACTCAGAGCCTTGTATTTAGTAGGCAGGTACTCTATCCCTTGTGCCACACTTCTGCACCTTTTTGCCTTGGTTATTTTAAAGATAAGATCTTGCTTTATGCTTGGGCTAACCTGGCTATAATCCTCTTACATTTCCCTGTGTCACTGGGGATGCCCAGCCATTGATTGAGATGGAATCTCATGAACTATACCTGAGTTAACTTTGAACTTCAATCTGCCTCCCAAGATATTAGCTAAGGTTACAGGCTTGAGCCACTGCACCTGGCTAAAATGTAAAACAGTTACCTAGCAAGTATCAGGCTCTGAGTTCAATCCAAAGGAATGGAATGGGAAAGGGAAAAATTACCTCTTTAAGCAAATGCTAATCCAAGGAAGATAGTTATAGAATATTTATGAGATCTTTAGTAATCCTTGTGGCAATTTTTCTTCACTAGATCTATCAAGAAAAGGCCAGGATTTTCAACCAAGTCTCATTTTTATTTTTCTGTTTCAACTGGAATTAGCTTCTCCTATACACACTCTGTCTCAGAAAAAGACAAACCTTGTCAGGGCTTTTTTTAATGTGTCTTTATTAGATTTATAGATTTAAGAAGAATTGACATCTTTGTAATATTTAGTGTTCACAACCAAGAAGATGATATGTCGAGATTTTCATATCTTCTCTTATCTCTCATATTTTATTTTTGCATATTGATTAGTAAATATTCTTTCTTGTTGTTTTTCCAGTAGAATTCTTTTTCTCCTGTTGTCTGCAAATAATGCCCATTTTAATTCCTTTTTTTGGAATCAGGTTGCTTTTTCTGAAGAGTTAGAAAAGATACAAGCACGTATCAGATAACCTTATTAGCTAGGTATAGATTACTTAAAAATTATACTGGTTTGTTTTCATTATCCCCTTCTGTATTAATCTCAGTAATTGAGTAGATTAATAATAAATACAAAAAATAAATACAGTTTGTACTGGCAACTAGCAGCACTTACCAAAGTTTTAAGCATTAACATTTTTTCTGTGCTTTGTATCTATATAAGAACTAAGAGCTGGCAAACCATTAACAAAGAATAAAATCCACCTGTAAAGTAAGGCTCACTGGCTACCCAGCAAACTTGAGATGTTAAAAGTAAACATCACAGGTAATAGAGAGTATTGAGTAGCATATGCATTGCTCTGCTGTTGTTTTGATTTCTTTTCTTTTCTTTTTTTTTTTTTTTTGGTCTGGTCTTGGGGCCTGAACTCTGGGCCTGGGCGCTGTCCCTCAGCTCTTCAGCTCAAGGCTAGCGCTCTACCACTTGAGCCACAGCACCACTTCTGGCTTTTTTCTTTTTGCTTATGTGGTGCTGAGGAATGGAACCCAGGGTTTCATGCATGCAAGGCAAGCGCTCTACCACTGAGCCACCTTCCCAGCCCCTTGATTTCTTTTGTTGTAAGGAAAACATGTTGTTTTGTTGAACAAAATTCAGCTTTTTTCTAAAATAAAGCAGGATTCTCTTATACCCCAAGACTATCTCATGTTGAAATGGACACTGCTCTTTGCTCCTGTTACTTTTCACTGCCTTTGTGTGATTGCAGCAACAAAGTTTAACTTGAGTGTATTTTTCTTCTTCTTCTTTTTTTTTTTTTTTTTGTCAGTCATGGGACCTGAACTCTGGGCCTGGGTGCTGTCTCTTAGCTCTTCAGCTCAAGGCTAGTACTCTACCACTTGAGCCACAGTGCCACGTCCTGCTTTTTCTGCTTATGTGGTGCTGAAGAATCGAACCCAGGGCCTCATGCATACAAGGCAAGCACTCTACCACTGAGCCATCTTCCCAGCCCCGTATTTTTCTTCTTTACAATTTGTCTTCCATTTCATCTTCCTTCTATTTCAGCATTACTCTGTGTGTGTTTCCCTTTCTTGGTGGTATACACCTCTAATCCCAGCACCCAGGAAGCTGAGGAAGAATGATTTCAAATTCAAGGCCAGTCTGGGCTACAGAGAGAGTTTCAGTAATAAGATCCTATCTCCAAACAAGAAAAAAAGAAAAAGGAAAGAAGCCTGTGCTCATTCAGTTGCAGAACTGTGAACCAAATAGAAGCTAATAGTTAAATACTAATAAACAGATTGTAAAAATTATATTGCATTTCCCCATGTGCCTGAGATAGGAGGTCAAATTTAAATCCCTACAGTCATCAAAATTAAGTCTCACTGAGATCTAATGGGATTTACATAGAAATGGAAAAAAAAACTTTATAAAACTGATACAGAGATTAATTACTGGGATTATATCAGAGTAAAAGTAGAACACAAAAGTGGGGATAATACCAATAATCCCAGCACTTGGGGAGGAAAGGCAGGATTATGACTTTGAAGCCAGCCTGAGCTACATAGCAAGATACTTAAAAAAAATTTAACTACAAATTTTATCTACAAAATATCATAGGGGAGGGCTGGGAAGGTGGCTCAGTGGTAGAGCGCTTACCTTGCATGCCCGAGGCCCTGAGTTCGACTCCTCAGCACCACATAAGCAAAAAGAAAAAAGCCGGAAGTGGCGCTGTGGCTCAAGTGGTAGAGTGCTAGCCTTGAGCTGAAGAGCTGAGGGACAGCGCCCAGGCCCAGAGTTCAGGCCCCATGACCGGACCCCCCAAAAAAAAAAAATCATAGGGGAATTTTAATTACTATGTTAAAACTATCAATTTGGAGAGATTATTTTTTCTATATTGAGTTTTCACGTCCATGAACATAATCTGCATCTACATTCATTTAAATCTTGCTTGATTCCCTTAGTCAGGATTTTATACTTTTCAGCATAAAAGACCTATATGTGTCTTAATAAGTTTATTTCATATATTTCTTTTTTACAACTGTATATATTTTAATTTCATCATTCATGTTCATTATTAACTTTGGATGTTTGTTTTTAAATCCTGAAACTTTGCTAAACTCACTTATCCTAGGAGTTTTTTTTTTTTTTTGGTCGGCTGTGGGGCTTGAACTCTGGGCCTGGGCGCTGTCCCTCAGCTCTTCAGCTCAAGGCGAGCGCTCTACCACTTGAGCTACAGCGCCACTTCCGGTTTTCTGGTGGTTTATTGGAGATCGGAGTCTCACGGTCTCTCCTGCCCGGGCTGGCTTTGAACCGCGATCCTCAGATCTCAGCCTCCCGAGTAGCTAGGATTACAGGCGTGAGCCACCAGCGCTCGGCTTATATCCTAGGAGTTTTTTGTGTTTTGTTTTGTTTTTAAGATTCTTGGTGTTTTTGTTTTATGTAGACAATGATATCGGCAAATGAGGCAGTTTAATTTCTTCCTTTCTGATATGTATGACTTTTATTCCTTTTCTACCTATTGCACTGACTAGAACTCCCAGAACTATGTTGAATAAGAGTGGTGAAAGCAGATATCCTGCCATGTTCCCGATCTTAGGGGGGTAAGTATTCAGTCTTTCACTGTTAAGAGTAATGTTAGCTGTCCAGCTTTTGTTGTCATTGTTTAGTTGGATTTTATTTGTTGTCTTTTGTTGATGCTTCTTATCAAATCAAGTTCTTTTCTATTCCAGGCTGCCCTGGAACTTGAGATCATCTTGCTCTAGCTTCCCAAATGCCAAGATTACAGGCCAGGGATACCATGCCCAACTTCTGGGAATTTTTAATTATAAGTCAGTATTGAATTTGCCAGATGCTTTTTATGCATCAGTTGATATGACCATGTGATTTTTCATCTATCACTGTTTAATATGATAGATTACATATTTAAATTAAACCAGGCTTGCATTCCTGGAATCACCCCTGCTGCGTCAGAAAACACCCAAACCTACAGCTTTCTTCTAATGGATTCAATTTCTCTAATAGTTGTACTTATTCAAATTATCTTTTATGTTGGATAAGTTGTAGTGGTTTGTGTTTCTTAGAAAGTGTTCTGCTTTATGTGATTAAGTTTATATCTGTATGCATATGTATATTCCTGTGTACATATATATCCTTTTTTTGTTGTTGTTGTTGGTCGTAGAGCTTGAACTCTGGACCTGGGCCCTGTCCTTCAGCTCTTCAGCTCAAGGCCAGAGCTCTACTGCTCAGCCACAGTGCCACTTCGTTTTTTCTACTAGTTTATTGGAGATAAGAGTCTCACAGACTTTCCTGCCTGAGCTGGCTTTGAACCGTGATCCTCAGATCTCAGCCTCCTGAGTAGGTAGGATTACAGGTGTGAGCCACCAGTGCCCAGCTTCATATATATCCTTTTGATGTCTGTGGAGTCTATGCTGATAGTATGTACAGAACCTTTGATAATTTATATCTTCTCTCTCATTTTCTTGATTTCTTTTGTTCATATTTATCATTGTTTATTTGTTGGTTTGTTTTAATTGCACGGTGGAGATTGAATCCAGGGACTTCATGCATGCTAGAAAAGCACTCTGCCACTGAGCTATACCCTTAGCTGCTCTTTTGTTTTTTCTTTGTCATTCTTCCTAGTGATTTTTCAGTGTTATTGATCATTTCAAACCATAACTCAGCCATTTTTTCTCATTGATTTTTCTCTATTGTTTTCATATTTTCAGTTTTACTGGTTTCTGCTTTTTCTTATTCTTTATTATTTACTGCTTGCCCTGCATCTATTTTTTTTTTTTAGGTTCTTGATGTAAGATTGAATTGAGACTTTTAGTGCTATGAATTTCCCTTTTAGCACTGCTTTAACCTGTTTCCCACAAATTATGATACATTCTGTTTTCATTTCTAATCACTTTTGTGTTTGTTGTTTTGTTTTACCTTGAGACTTTGTAACCCATGGAAGTATGGGTTAAAAAGTATGTTGATTCATTTCCAGATATTTGGCCATTTTTTCTTATTAATTTTCTGTTACTGATTTCCAGTTTGATTTCATATGTGCAGTAACATAATCTATATGACTTCATTTTTTTAAGTTTGTTGAAAATGTATTTTATGGTTGAAGATACAGTTTTTCTTTGACACTTGAGGAGATGTGTATTCTACCACCATGAGCCACCTTCACAGCCGTGTATTCTGATATTACCAGGTGGAGTACTATGTAAATTTTTATTTCCTGGAGCTGATTGTCTAATTTTTCTTTATCTTTGCTAGCTTTCTATGTAGTTGTTTCACCAATTGTTGAGAGAGGTGTTTTGCTCCTTGTTTAATTTGTTTGGTTGTTGTTGTTGTTGTTGTCTTTGGGGTCAAGATCTCACTATATAGCACAAACTGGTCTTGAATTTGCAATCCCTTGTCTCTACCCCTTGATTGCTGTGATGCAGACATGTTCCCACCATACCTATCAAGAGAAGGTTTTTAAGTCTACAGGTTTAATTGTGGATTTGTCTATCAGTCTATCAGTTTTTACTTCACTTTGCAGCTCTTTTGCTTTGTGCACACAAATTTATGCTTTCATGCTTTGACCATTTTATTATTATGTAATATCCCTTTCTCTGGTAATTTTATTTGTTCTGAAGTCTACTTTAAGTATATGTACCCCTGCTTTCTTTTGGTTAATGTTTTCCTCTGTCAACTTGCCTGTATCATTTTTTTTTTTTTTTTTGCAGGGGGAGGGAGAAGGGGGAAGAAGGGGTTTGGTTGTGGGGATTGAACTCTGGGCCTGGGCGCTATCCCTCAGCTCTTCAGCTCAAAGCAAATGCTCTACCACTTGAGCCACAGCGCCACTTACGATTTTCTAGTGGTTAATTGGAGATAAGAGTCTCACAGACTTTCCTGCTCAGGCTGGCTTTGAACCGCAATCCTCAGATCTCAGCCTCCTGAGTAGCTAGGATTACATGTGTGAGCCACTGGCACTCAGCGCCTGTATCATTTTTTTTTTTTTTTTTTTTTTTGGGTCCGGTCATGGGCCTGAACTCTGGGCCTGAGTGCTGTCCCTCAGCTCTTCGGCTCAAGGCTAGCACTCTACCACTTGAGCCACAGCGCCACTTCCGGCTTTTTTCTTTTTGCTTATGTGGTGCTAAGGACTCGAACCCAGGGCCTCAGGCATGCAAGGAAGCGCTCTACCACTGAGCTGCCTTCCCAGCTCCTGTATCATTATTTTTGAAGTGAGTTACACTCAGGCAGTATTATTAGATCATGGATTTTTGTTTGTTTGTGTGTGTGTGTGTCCTTTCGGGCAGTATTGGGATTTAAACTCAGGGCCTTATGCTTGTTAATTTGCTTGCTTGGCTGGCAGTCTACCACTTGAGCCACCTCTCTATCCCGGGTTTTTGATGGTTCTTTCAAAGGAGGAGTCCCTTGGTCTTTTCTGTCTGGGCTGGCTTCAAACCATGTTCTTTAGTGTCTCCGCTGGGATTATAGGCATGAGCTACCAGTGCCCAGCTTTGGGCCATGTTTTTCATCTACTCTGCCAATTATGGTGTTTGCTTGTCATATTTGAAGCATTTGTATTTAATGTAATTATCAGTATGTTAACATTTAAGCATATTATTCTGTATTCTTTATTTTGTTTCTCAGTTACTTGATAATTGCTCAGGTCAGTTCTGTTTTTTGTTTTGGGTTTTTTGTTGTTGTTGTTGTTGTTGTTTTTAATCAGTCATAGGGCTTGAACACAAGGCCTGGGCACTGTCCCTAAGCATTTTTGCTCAAGGCTAGCACTTTACCACTTTGAGCCACAGCTCTACTTCTGGTTTTCTGGTGGTTACTTGGAGATAAAGAGTCTCACAGACTTTCTTACCTGTACTGGCTTCAAACCGTGATCCTCAGATCTTAGTTTTCTGAGTAACTAGGTGTACAAGTATGAACCCCCAGCGTCTGGCTCAGTTCTGACTTTTCTGGAGTGTTTTGGTTGTATCTCTATATGGTTTTCTTAGTAATGATAAAGTATAATGGTGTTATTATTTTACTAGCTCAAGTAAAGAACAAAAATTATACCTCCCTTTCATATCTCTTAATCTTCTCTTATTACAAAATACTTTTCTTAAATCTATTCTCTACATATGTCTTGATTTCTTTAGATGATGTAATTTTAATTATTTTCTTTAGCCATTAAACAACTTAGAAAACTGAAAAGAAGGAAAATTAATTTTCATTGATCGATTTTTTTTTTTTTTTTTTTGTCGGTTGTGGGGGCTGAACTCTGGGCCTGGGTGCTGTCCCTCAGCTCTTCAGCTCAAGGCTAGCGCCCTTCCAACTTGAGCCACAGCGCCACTTCTGGCTTTTTTCTGCTTATGTGGTGCTGAGGAATTGAACCCAGGGCCTCATGCATGCAAGGCAAGCGCTCTACCACTGAGCCAACTTCCCAGCCCCTGATCGATTTTTTTGCTTACTGTCTTTTTCCTTCTTTCTTGATGATTCTCATCATTTCCTTTCTGTTAAGATAACTTTCCTTATTTTCCAGTGCTGGTGCTTGGTCTCAGGGCCTCATGGTCTCACCTTTTTCTGCACAAGGTTGGCACACTACCACTTGAGCCACACCTCCATTTCCCTATTAAGATAACTTTCTTGAGTCAATCTTTCAGAGTAGGTCTTCTGGTCATAGTTTCCTTTGTTTTCCTTTCTCGAGAACCTTGGTATCTAAATGTGTATGGTTTCATGGTCTGTTGGGAAAACCACTAATGCTCAGTTTAAGCACAATTAATGATGATGGAAGACTGTATCAACTGAGCTACATGATGCTCATAAGAGACTCCATCTCCAAAATAACTAGCAAAAAGCTGGGCTAGAAGCATGGCTCAATTGATAGAACACCAGCTTAGCAGTATGAAGCCCTGAGTTGAAATCCCTATACTTATAAATAACAATAATAGGGGCTGGGAAGGTGGTTCAGTGGTAGAGCGCTTGCCTTGCATGCATGAGGCCCTGGGTTCAATTCCTCAGCACCACATAAAGCAAAAAGCCAGAAGTGGCGCTGTGGCTGAAGTGGTAGAGCACTAGCCTTGAGCTGAAGAGCTGAGGAACAGCACCCAGGCCCAGAGTTCAGGCCCATGACCGGACCCCCCTCAAAAAAGTAACAATAATAAATATAATAACCTCACAAATAACTCAAATTGTCTGTACATATTTCGCTAATTGGTTCCAAGATTTTTTTTCCCCTTTGTCTTTGTTTTCCAGAGTTTTACTAGAATGTGCTTTAATATTGATTCCTTTGGTTTTATTCTGTCTGGAATTTGCTCAGCTTTTTGAATTTATACATTTTATGAAATTTGAGATTTTTTTTCCTAGCCATTTCTTTGAGTGCTTTTTCAGCTCTTCCTTTTCTTTTCTCTTAGTAATCCAGTGGCATGAGTATTAAATTTCTCATGATAGTTTCACATGTCCAAGATCTCTTTTTTCTTTCAACCTGTTTTCTCTCTTTTGTTCTTATTGTTCCATTTCATTGATGCCTTCCTCCTTCCTCTCTATTCAACTATTGAGCTCATCTACTAAGTTTCATTCAATTATGTTCGTAAATTCTATAATTTTCACTTTCTTTTTTTGTCAGTCG